GGCCGCCGCCCTCGGCTATTGCCGAGGCCTTCCAAAGACGCCATGTCCGCCAGCGCCGTCTACGTACTGGACCTGAAAGGCAAGGTATTGAAGGGCTCTCCACCCTCCGCGTTGCCAGGCAACAGCGGGGCCTCGCCCTGCCGGGACCCACCCTGTTGCTAGGTAACTGGCCGTCCAACCCTGCCAGGGCGTTGGGCAGGCGGGGCAGCCTCACTTGCGGACCCTGTCCTGTTGCTAGGAAACGGCCGGTGGTCTTTGAGAGTCCCGCCCCCTCCTTAGCTTACTGGGTGGGCTGTGGTTGCTAGGTGACCGTCGGCTTTGCCCCTCTCCCCCCGGGGAGGGAAGCTGAGGACCCGCGCCCCGGGATCGCGCGACCCTTGGCCGGAGGCGTGGCGGGGACTGTGTCCTCAGGTCGGCCCCTTGCTCCGCTTTCTCCCGAGAGCAGCTGCGCTTCCTGTGACATTGGGTTCAGAGAGGCGAGTGATAGGAATGCCGTCTTGCTGAGGGGAAACAGACTTGCTTGCCTAGAGTCACACTGATGACTGGGAAGTAGCCATCTGGAAGTCCCACCTCAAGCATCCTTGCTTTCAGCTTATGTTTTCAGAGAAGCCAGGCAGGGTGCTAAGCCCTGGGCCCCACGGGTGGGCAGAATCTGTCATGGCTCTCAGCACATGGAAAAGCACAGATACATGAATGACTGTTGGGACCGTGTGTTCATAACGGACTAGCAGCCCCAGCTGGGGGACAGAAAGCTTTCCTGACTGAGACATGAAGGCCCTGGAAGGAATCAGGGTCCAGGCATCTTCCCCAGGGGTGTCTGAGAAAGAAAACTTCATCTGTGTGTGTTTGTGTGGGTTTGCACATGTGTGTGGAGGAAGGAGACCCTGCTACCCTTACATGGGCTCTTGTTATCACACTCAGTCGCTGGACTGATTCAGCGAGGCTGCCTGGCCTTTAAACTACATGGATCTGCCTGTCTGTATTTCCCAGAAGCACCCCTTGGTTTTATAAGACAAGGTTTCTCTGTGTAGCTCAGGCGTCGCTGAGCACACTCTGTAGACCAGACTGGCCTTGACCTCAGATAGGCCTGCCTCTGCCTCAGGCGTGCTGGAATTAAAGGTGTACACCACCACCGTCTGGCATGTACATGGCTCTTTTACATGGTATCTGGATATG